CCGGTGAAGGATGGATTCATGGTAGGGGCAGGTAACGCGTTTGTGTTAGCGGATTGAGAGCGTTGTTGCTGCTGCATCACCATAACTGGTTCCCTCGTTTCTTGCTGCTGTAGTCTCTTGAATTGATCACCTAGAGCCGCCACATAATGTGATTCTTCTGATGGCCGAGGCAGAGGAGTCTGTTGATACGGCATGCGTTTCTGCTCTTCCAGGACAGCATTATGTTGCATTTTTATCCACTGCAACTTCATGTGAATTCTATCCAACGAATTCACATTTTGGTTTCCTGATTCTCCACTAGGGTAGCTGGATCCTCTAGGGTAACCGAGATTCTTTCTGTCAAGAGCTTCTTCTCCGCCTGCAGGATACATACCTGAGTTAGGCTGCAACTGGGCTACTGTATTTTGGCTTGTGTGCACGGAAGGGACTTTGTTATTATTGTTAACAGAAGTATTATCGCTAATATCCTCTGTTTTTCTAGAAGCAGTAGATTGGTCTTGCTTCTGACTTCTTAATGATTCTTCTGCTTTCTCAATGTCCCCTTCTGCTGTAACCACAGCTCTTTCTATATCCTGCTTGGTGCACTTGTATTTAGTTTCCAACTCCAAGATTCTACCCAACTCTTGCGATATGTCAAGTTTTAAGTTTGCAGAGGTAGGAACTAGTTTCTTATCTGCTACTTTTGCACCACCATCATCAAACAGCCAATTAATAGATTCCTCTATTTTCCCTTCATTTAGCATAAGAGCATAAGTTGCCCGCTCATGTGCAATCCCCATTGCTATAAGCTGCTGAGCAAGGACTTCGAGTTTCCTCGACATGAGATACTGACAGCAACGCTCATGCAACTCTTGAGCTCGCTTTTCCTTCTGACGTTGGTGCTTTCTTTCATTCTTCAGTCGCATCTTTTCACGCTTTTCATTGTCAGCTCCAGGAATAATCTCCTGTTTTGAAGCAGCAGTAGTAGGTGCTGCTTTCTCTTTGTGATCTTCTGAATCACCTGACCAACTACCATTATTAGAGACAGAATCACAGTCGGCTCCTGTCGAATCCGACTCATCAATGTTTCTGAAACGGCCATTATTGACAAGAGATGTTGAACCAGTTGCTGTAAGCGACTCAACGGATTGAAATGTCCCTAAAAGAGGATTGTAAGCACCCATGGATCCCGAGACTTTACTCGGTATCTTCTGTGAATCATTCATAACCTTCTTGTCTCTCGATTTAGTCTTGGATACGGAAGACATCTTCTCAAAAGCCAAAGTTATCCTACACTTCTCATCAAACAAAGATAAGTCAAAACATAGACTTTAAACCTAACAATTTTTTTACATATAACAACCTTCTTGAACATCAAAGATCAATGGAAATACAAAGCTTTGAGATTCTTCAATGTCACAAACGTATGGATCCATTGAAAGAACGAAACAGAAATCAAATACGATACAGTAATCTGGAAACGAAATGAACAACATCTATCTACGGAGATAACTTTCTTAAGGTCAACACGCAAATTCACGAAGAGACGAAATCGAATCGAATCAATAAACAAGAAGGAGAAAAAAAAGTCGTTTTTGTAACAACGGAGAGACGAAATTCGAGCGAATCAAGAAAAAAAAAAACCTAAAAGGCGAGATGGAAAGAAATGCGATTTTGATGAAGAATCTAGATCGAAGTATTAGATACAGTGATGGTGAACGTAGAGAGAGAAGAGAACCTGATTGATCTGTGACGTT